ACTGTACTGTTTGGACATATTGCATAAATGATCAAAGCGATGGTATCCAGCTATATTGATGCTAACATTTCGCAATGTCGACCAACTTTGGCTATTGGTACCGGTTATGACGGAAGTCGAAGCTCCCAGCTTGCACAGCCATGCCAGACCGTATCGAATCAGTGAGAAGATCTCTGACGTTGCGTATGCCATGCACAGAGTGCCGCCAACCATAATTTGAAATTCTTCTGCTTAGAGAAATTTAAGGCATTTCTATAACTCTACCCCCCCTCCCCCGTTCCCCCTCCGATGCTGGGAACACAAACTGCTTCATAACAGTTATACAGACGGTCATCTGGGCGATTGCAGACCTGTCTAAGACAGTTTTCTGGTCTAGAATGATGAAAGATGCCAAGAAATGGTGCACACAGTGTGTGATATATGCCGGTAGAAAGACAGACAAATAGTACGATCGATCCATGATCCTTTCGAATCCAGTTCTATATCTAATGGAACGAATCTCGAGGAATGTAATCGGCTCGCTTGCCAATTACAGAGAAGCAAAGCAGGTGCATTCAGGTGTATGCGGCAATTTTACCTCAATTTGAGGCCTGTTCGATACCAAATCAGGAAGCTGTACCGATGGCCATAAGGATTATCAATGAATGTACCAAATGGCACATATGGTTCGTGTGTGTAGGCAGATCAGCGACTCTCTGGAGTGCCGGTGCCGCCGGAATGGCTGCTCATCAACTGTTGTTATTAGACCAACACTTGTACATATTTAACGACCGTCATGCAAGGAGATTAAGAGGACCTCCGTAAAGCCTTTGACTTTGCGTGATTGTTGAAATCCATTCCAAAACTGTTTTAAAATTTATGAACACCCACAAACGAAACGAATTCTCAGCTGTTAGTCTGCCGTTTTATTTTTGTCCTGTTTCATTTGTCGTATTCGTTCACATGTTAAGTTTTAGCACTTTTTTATGCATTTTTTTAGTACTACTTGTACCTGTCATGTGAATAACTCAACCAAAAGACAAAAGGAATTTATAAAGTTGTTTAGCAATTTTGCTGCTGCATTTCAAACATGCTGCTGCCGTTTAACTTGTGCATAAAAATCAATGCTTTGTCTGCACTGACTGCTTTGAAAAATTATGACGGCAATCCACGCTAAGTTTTTGGGAATACGATTATAATAAAATTATTCCTTTTCCAACTGTCAACGTCTATGTTAGACACAGTCAACGAAATGAGGCAATAACAGTGTCGCTGTTACATCATTGTTACATTGTCTTTATCACCTAAGGATAGCAGCTTGAAGAGTTCAGTAACTTAGGCTGGAACCTTATGCGGAAATGGTATTTCAGATTGACGGAAAAGTCACTGCAGAGGCCACATTCTTAGTTGCAAACAGGTCTGCCTCAATGAGGTGTTGCGAGGAATTGCACTGTCCTCAAATACGCCCATGACCCGAAGACGGTTGCCACTGAGAATGTCTATGAGTGTGTTTCTATCATCTCTTCGGGCCGCTTTATGCAGCCAAACACGGTGTCGGTCTTTAAGTTCTCCAAACAGTTTCATCAGACAGTTAGTCACCAGCAATTGCTCATTCGTGACTGAGTGACGCCATACCATGTTGGGGATACTCTGTAAGTTGCCGTTTTTAAGAGCTGTAGAAACGAGTTTCGTCGTGCTTCATGTGG